ACATTGATAGAAGAGTGCAACATTGATCGGCTACCTCCTATATGCCCCCTACTGGGGATCAAGCCTGCAACTCAGGCATGTGCCCTGACCGGGAATCGAACTGGTAACCTCCTAGTGCATGGGATGACATCCAACCAAATGAGCCACACTGGCCCCGGCTGTCTCCTTATTTTTCACATGGCTGGTAGGACTACGTGGTCATGGTGGGTCTTCTATCACATAGTCTACAAAGAGTTTATAGACAAAACAGAATGAAGAAAGCTCGCCTTCGTGCACTAAACAGGAAGGGTCTGGATCAATGGTGGTCTTTGCCTTGGCCAAGAGGTCGACGGGGTCCGCACCTCAGACTTTCTCCATTCTCTGCTGTACACCGGCAGGAGCCCCCAACATGCTAAGGAACACAGCCCACCCCACCCCAACAGTCTTCTGTCCGTGAGCCATGAACAAACCATACACAGAGAGAAGCTTCTTTTTTTCTTCAATTTAATTGAAGTTACTTAGAAAAATAATCAGGCTTGAATGGCTTTTCCTGGAGGAAGGTTCAGGAACATTTCACGCTTTTGTTGGCAATGTGGAATTCAGCTTTCTTGAACAGTACAGTAAGATACAGGGAGAGGTTTCTACAACAAGCCCTCTACTGCATACAAATATGTAAAAAAAAATCACACTCCACAGAGATGTTAAATTATATGTCCATATGCCATACTGAGCATGCTCCTAAGACAACAGTACGGGCAGCCCCTTCCGTACCTGACAGAGTAGCAGACTGCAGAGCGCCTGTTAACGGCCAACAGGCAAGCTGGCTGTAGAAGGTCCTGTTGCCTGTTCATAGGGTCTAGTTGGTTGTGATGGGGAAAGGCTGGGGGAAATGCTGGTTGTAGGAACGTGGGGAGCGATGAGGTCAGTCCTGCTGACATAGGAGTGGGCAAGGGAGGGATTCTGCCCCCCAGGTCTGCACAGATTGTGTGCGCGTGCATGTGCACGTGGGGGAAGGACTGGACTGAGAGATGTGCTCTGAGCATCACCCACCGGGACAGGTCCCCTGGCTTCTTGCCAGGTTAGAACAGGGACTTTTCACCACCTCAGCACTAGTCCAGATCCCACCAGCTAAGTGTGCTAGGGACTGGCTTTAGTTATGGGAACTTTCTACGGCAGTGATGGCGAACCTTTTGAGCTCGGCGTGTCAGCATTTTGAAAAACCCTAACTTAACGCTGGTGCCGTGTCACATATAGAACTTTTTTGATCTTTGCAACCATAGTAAAACAAAGACTTATATTTTTGATATTTATGTTATGTATTTAAATGCCATTTAACAAAGAAAAATCAACCAAAAAAATGAGTTCACATGTCACCTCTGACACGCGTGTCATAGGTTCGCCATCACTGTTCTGTGGGCAGGATTCAGACCCTGGGCTTCCAGGGCTCTGCCACCAGGAGGCCTGGTCTGACTGGAGTTTCCACTGCCCACCGCTCTCCTGTGGCACCCAGGTCCTGAGCACGCAGGACGGTGAAGCTCACCTGGTGGACAAGTAGGAAGGAAGGTCCCCTCTGAGACACCAGGGTCAGCAGACTGCCCTTCGTCCCAGACCAGCTGGGGAGGCGGGGAGCAGGGTGGGGGCAAAGAAGGTGCAGGGATTCCAACGCTGTGGCTAATAGGTCGGCAGGAATGTCCTTGTCAGTACTACCCTGGCTGTACCTGGTTTTGTGCACACGGCAGCACCCTTGAAAAGTGGCTCGGAGGTGGGAGCCCTGCCTGTACTTTTCTCCAGCTAAGCATGCCACAGCAAGCATTTCAAACAGTTTTCTTTAACAAAACCCCACGAAGTTTTGTTTTCCAGGCACATGTTTAACCATGAATTCTTTTTAACAAAGGACACACTATTTTCTACATTCGGCAAAAACAGTGGGATCAACTAAAAAATTTTTATACCATTAGAAAATGAAACCTGAAAACACAACACAAGGAGAAAGACTCTCTCGCTGCAGAACCATAGTGATATATCATCCCCTGAGGGACAATCTTTCTCACTGTAGAGAGAAAACGGATGAAAGAAGGCGACTTGCACACAGCACCGAGCTCGCTCGCACAGCTGATCAAAGACAGGCACGGAAATGCGAAAGTCAGGAAATCTAAGCGACTTTCATTTAAAAACCAAAGAACTCACAGTGAACAACTCCCACCTATGGAACCGAAGAAGCGCTCATCAAGAGTTGAGCTCACTCTGCTTGCACTGAGCAGCCTAAGGCTTGAGGCATAGGGGGACCACTTTGGCCTTATGCCCCCGCTCCCCCCACTTCTGTCCATACCACCCAAAACGTTCCTGCACTGGCTTGGGAGGGAGGAAGTATTGCCTGTGGTAGAATCCAGGATTAGAACCATTGCACGTTAAGTTAAAGTTGAATTCATTGGATAAGGTGCCTACCTCTGTTGGTCACTGTGATGCTGTTTTCGATTTTTTTTTGGTTTTTGGAGGGGGTAAGAGAGGCCGTTTTTATCCTTGAAGAATTCAGATGGGCTACATCAACCTAACCAAAGTATACTCTGCGGAACGCTAGCTCTGTGAGATGATCTGCAAAATAGAGAATTCTGGTCACGTTAAGTTCAGGAAATGCTGCTGACGCAACGATCCTCTTGGGATTGGCAATGCACAGCACACATTAGGGCTCTGAAAAGTCCTGCAGGAAGGGAACTGACTTCACTTCGTTTGCCAAGGATACGTGACCACAAAACTCTCATTTTGCATCGCATGAACTTGACATCCCCTAGGACCTGTGTTCTGTAGAGCACACATTTTAAAACGATGGACAGCCTGTTTTGTCAGCAGAAGCCCTGTTTCTGAGGACAGTTTCCTTTGCCTGGAAATAGAGTTCAGAGTCCCAATTCCAGGGACAGCCGGAGACTGTAAGGGTAAAACATGTTGCATACACCTCTATCCATCCAGGGTAGAGTCGCTGCGCCCTTCACAAGGGGAGAGCGTGGAAGGAGGTACACAGCATTTATAAATAGCTCCGGCCACCTCCTCCCGGGCACACCTCACTCACATTCAATAGAATAATTTTCTCGGTGAGATGTGGCAGCTGCTGCTCACTGAGCTGGCTCTGAGACTTATCATACAATTTTCATAGTTTCTGTGAATAAATTATTCATATTTTTTGTTTGTTTTAGAATAGTCTTCTCACCCCTTGGCTATAGGATGCATCAAAAAACGAAACAAAAAGCAAAACTTACCCACACCCCAGCCCACCCCATCCCCTATTGTTAGAACTATTATTATTATTATTATGTACAATATCTGCTACCATCTCATTCACTAGCTGCAAGAGAGAGGTGGCTCAAACGTCAACCGAGATGTGGGAAATGGCTGCAGGTGAGGAGCGGGAGCAGGTGTTCATTAGCAAGGAACCGGAAATGAACGTTTCCAGCCTTCCAGAGGAAAGGGGTACGAATTACCATCACGGAAGGCTGTCCTTGCTGCTCAGGTGTGGCAATCATACAGGTGCTGATGGCCTCTTAGCCTTGGGAGGACTTGAGAGAGGGTGTGCATGTACACGTGTGTACCCGGAGTCCACCCCTGACCTCCATGAGGGGTAGAAATGCCAGACCATTGCAAATCCCCGAGGGTAGGAGCCCTGCCACGGTATTATGTGGCAAGAGTAGGAAACAACATGGAGACGTGGGTGCTGGGCTGGAGATGGCAGGAGGCAGCACCGGAAGCAGCTGAAGCTCCCCTTCCCTCACCCAAAGCAGACATCACTAATCGATCACCGCACTCTTCCAAGCTGTGCCTGGCAAGTCTGTTCTGGGGTTAAAGGTGGACACTACCAATACCTTAGAGCAGGCACAGGATAGGAAATATTTTTGCCATCTATTGTGTGGGGCCTTGAGCTTGGATGACGCACCCGGTTTGGGGGCCTGCTCCAGGCATGTGGTTTTCAAATTTGGGTCATAGAAAAATGCAAATTTATAGGGGTCATGGACCTGCTCATGAACAGCCCAAGATAGCGGAGGTTTGCTAATTGTCAAGCTGGATACTCGGTGTCCATGTAAAGCTTCTTGAGGGCTGAGACTACTGGTTTTGTTCAATGCTCTATCTGCAGGGCCTAGAATGAGGCCCAGCACATAGTAGTTGCTCAATAAATACTTGTTGACTATAAAGCAACAGCCATTTCATCTTCATCACAACTGGCACTGCCAGTTAAAAATTTCTTTAGAAAAGCTTATTCTATCAGACTATTAATTCCTGTGGGGGAAAATAAAAAGCTACCATCAGCTCTTTCCTTGGCTTAAAAAAAATCACATTTCTTTAGGGCAAGGGACTTGGGGGTTGATTGAAAATCGGTGTGGAATTAGTCCCTTGCAAAGGTGCCTCTTTCCGTTTATTTCTGGCAGAATGTCAAGCACGGTGGCATCAACACACACACCACAATGGCTCTTATCACACAGTGAGTCTCTGAGAGGCGACTGAGAACATTCACGCCCCCAAGTGAGCTAGAGCAAGCGCAGGATGAAACACAGATTTCTTATGCTGCCACACCAAGAAATCTCTACAGACACTATGTTTAAATAACTATAAATAATATTAATTAGAATTTATGGAATGCACAATTCATGGAATTCACCGGAACACAAGGAAACCTTTGAGACAGTGTTGCAGTACTCATGTCTAAAACCAGGGACACCCACCCCTCTTCCCCTGCAAAGACAGCTGTCCTTCCCTACCAAGGATTTTAAATAATTCTCACTATGCTGCTCGCAGCATCATCCCCAAAGAAATATTAATTTACAAAATAACCCAATATTCATATAATTCTTTTGACAAATAAAAATCTTAAATTAAAAAGCATGATTCTCTCCCTCGTCCCCCCCTCCCCCTCCCCCCAGCC